ATTAGTTCTCTTGAAAAATTAAATTTAATTTCAGCTGAAACAACGTTTGCTTTGCAGCTGAACAGTCAAACTTGCAAAAACTGTGACCTCTGCACGGTTGCCTTTTTAATAATTGTAACCGTTCTAATTACAGTAGAACCTCACTAATTCACAGCCATGACAGGGAGAATCATTGCAAGTTACAGAGTTCTGCAAATTAGCAAATGAACAATAAAAGCCCATGGTTAATGCATCATAAAATGTCCTATGCTATAGTTTATAACGTAGGTAATTATTTATAAAAATAAAGTAGTCTTTGTCTAACCACTCGTTTTAGTGCATTGCTATTCTGCATTTTGCTGAGAGGTACAAAGTGTGTGCTAATTAGCATGTGCAGATTAAATTGTGAAGATGAGCACAGTACAGATGAGCGGTTCCACAGTATTTGATTGCCTTTTGACAATATACCGTGATACATATTCTTTACACAAAACCTGGCGGCAGTCTATATTTTGAAACTCAATAGGGATTTTTAGGGAGAAATCCTGCCCCCAAGTCCAATGGCAAGTGAGGTCCTAACCATAACAGATTCACAACAGTGCGAACAAGCTGCACACCCACTTCACCATCATACTCCTTCAGATCACGAGGGCTCCCTCCCCACCATAGGAGGAACTGAGTAACAGTGAACGGCGTGTGAATTCACAACTACACAATCGAAACACCATTGTGGAGTACCAGTGTTGCCCCAGCTCTTAACTGATCCAGGACCCCTAACAGCAACCTACACCACTTCCCCATCCATTCTGAAAGAATTGTATCCTCCCAATCCTCCACAGACACCTCTCTCAAGGTTTGTTTAAAGTTTTCTCAAGAATATGAGCTTTAGTGTCTAGAGCTGGGTGTTCAGAGCTTATCTGTGCAGGGGGCTTAGTCTGGACTAACTGGAGTTATTCTGGTCTGAAAACACCTGTTTATGTTAGGGATGTAATAGTGTAGTTGGTCAACCGATAAGCAAAAGCTTTTAGGTTAATGCTATAAATTACACACATTTCTGCCCCCCCCCCCAGTAAATTTTTTAGCAGCCCAGCTCATTCCTGGCTTGAACCAGGTCCGGGACCTACCCCCACTGCAGCTCTGCATTTAAAGTGTATTAGGAGCCAGGCAGGCAGGGTGACAGACAGCCAGTCCAGGAGGGGAGCCGGTTTTTAAACTGGCTCCCCTCTCGGACTGGCTCTCACCTGGCAACGGAGTGGCAGGGGGCCCCCCAGGAGTGGGGTCAGAGCACTCTGGCTCCCAGCCCGCCCCCAGGGACTATAGAATAGTTGACTAACCGATAAGAATTCATGAGGTTAATTGATTATTCAGTTAACCAATATTTAACATCCCTAATGTACGCCTGACACTATTCTTCGGCATGTATTAACTCTATGTTTATAGCGAACTCAGAATTCTCTTTCAAAATGTACCAATTCTAACGCCAATTGAGTTACTGAAGTCTACTGTTCAGTGTATATATATATGGCGATATACTTGAATCCAGGTTAAACAGGTCAACTCTGTTGGTGTGCCAGTTTTTCAACAGCATGGATGGAGGGTGTGGCTGTCTGATTAACCTGACTCAAGAACAGTAGAGGACACACAAATGAACAAACAGGTCAATAACGAATGCCTGCAAAGTAGTGCGGGACTGCTAAATTAATTAGACCCGCTAAATCAGTGGTCCCCAACCTATAGAGGCTCCCGGGTGCCTGGGGGCGGGGCCACTCATGCGCCGGGCACCCGGGGGGTGGGGCCACGCATCCTGGGGCACGCCAGGGGCGGGGATGCCCTTGCACCTAGCACCGGCATGTGCCCCAGGGCCGGGGCCTGGGCCGCCCGAGCGCCATGTGCCCTGGGGCTGGGGCCGCCAGAGCACCGCGGTGCACCCGCGGGCACCGCATTGGGGACCACTGCGCTAAATTGAAAATCAGAAGAGCTATCTCTGGCACGGCAAATGAAAATGTGGCCAAAAGCTGTTTTAGAAAGCCAAGAAAAACAGAAGAGCTATCTCTGGCACGGCAAATGAAAATGTGGCCTAAGTGTTGCATGACAAGTATCAGAGGGTAGCCTTGTTAGTCTGTATCTGCAAAAACAATGAACAGTCCTGGGGCACCTTAAAGACTAACAGATTTATTTGGGCATCAGCTTTCATGGGCAAAAGTCTGCTGGCATCTGATGAAGTGGGATTTTTGCCCATGAAAGCTGATGCCCAAATAAATCTGTTAGTCTTTAAGGTGCCCCAGGACTGTTCATTGTTTTTGCAGATACAGACTAACATGGCTACCCCTCCGATACTTCTCACAGCAACAGCAAGGGGATACTGACAGAAATCCAAGGACTCGCAACTTTTAGTTTTCACTCCATTGCTTGAACCAATTGTAAAATATTCCTCACGTACACTGAGCAGCAGATGTAATAGCTTTATTTCCCCAATTTTACTAAATTACCAATTGTGTTCCTACTTGGGTAATAACAGTATTTACAGTGTTTGCTGCAAGCTATATAATCAAGTTTTGACTCATGGTATTTTCTTGACTGCATACCTATCCTGTTATGTTGCTAACAATCTAAACACTTGGGAGAATTTAACTTTATTTCAGGGTTACCTAATCACATTATATGATCAATCCATTTATTTCAACTTTAATACAGTACACATACAGGAGGTATGTGGCTATCAAAATATCATGGGGAACGAACATTGTTCCAGAATGGTTTGTGTATTAAAAGATTACTTGAGAAAGTAGCATAAAACTCACCATCATGACCCGATATTATTCCCAACTGATGGGTGAGAAATGAAAGCTTAATGCAGAGCTTCTTACCCCCTCTCTACTTTAACATGATGTTGACAGAAAATTTTGAAACTTGTGAAATGGAAGATTAAGTTCAACTACTTCAGCAGTATATAGCACAAGACTGAATTTCGGCTTTAAGAATTCTTTACTCGCATCTCCTAAAATAATACCAGGGAGCAAAGAAATAACCCAGTAACATGCACTGGTGTTTAATTTTATTAACAGAATGCATGACATTGGGCAACAGAATGCAGATTTAAAAGGAATCTAAAAATTCAGAGAAGAAAAAGGAAAGATAATGAAAAAAGCTTAAGATGACAAGATATCAAGGTAATAAAAATACACAACAGTACTGACTAGTGCAACTGATTAAAACGTCTTCTACTGTTTTGACACACATTCTGCGCAAAGTAAACAGATGAAATACATTGTTATCCACCTTGACTTTCAAAAACTAGATCTCAAATAAAAGTAATTTCTAGTCCTCCAAACCACTTCAGTAAAGAATGTGAAAATGATCATGTGGGACTAGTCAGTATCTCTTCATAAACCTCTAATTTTGTTTTAAACACACAAGTTAATTTAAACCTAACCCATCATGGTTACACAGGTTGAACCTCTAAAATCCAGGACTCTCTGGTCCGGCAACATCTGTGGGCCAGCAGGGCAACAGGTATTGCTGAACCAACAAGACCCGGCTGGCCAGGTTCAGAAGCGCAGCCCGGGCCAAGCTATCAGTAGCAAGCGCAGACCCAGTGGGGCTGTGACACGGGGTGGACAGGCCCCGCACTGATGGACAGGGGGTAGCCCAGGCCCAGCTGGCGGAGAAGGCCCCGCCCCTCCAACCCTGCAGAGGCCGCGTATAAAAGCAGAGGGAGCTCTGCAGTCAAGGT